GGACAATCAAATGATAGCCTTAGATGTAAACTGAACTGCCAGCAAATGCAGAAAAACCTGTGCTTCCAGGGAACAAGTGTGGACTCCACAAAAGACAGTGGCATGAGACTGTCATAAAAGGAAATCAGCCAAGTGGGCCACCCAGGGGAACAGAAGGACCCTAACACAGGAGTGGGTCACAAAAGGCCCGAAGACTGAAGGGGAATCTAAGTGGCTATTCAGAGGAAAGACACTGGATATGACAGGGTCTGCACTCTGAGGTCCCTCAAGGAACTTGCAAATGTCCCCATGACAGTGTCACACAGGGATTTCCTCCATATCACAGAGCCTTATTGCATATTACAACATTGCCAATCATGCGAGGGTATGCCCTTCCTCCACAATCCTTGCACTCTCTGGGCCCCCATTATAGATCAGAAAGAGGGTGTGGTCCAATTTGCATTTAGACATTTATGTGACCATTGACTAATGTCTGTGAGTGCCACTGGAATTTTAGCTTGATAATAGCAGAGACATATCTGTTTTGTTACTACTTCCTCTCAATGACCGTGTCTGGCACACAGTATGTGCTCAAAAAGTATTCCAGATCCCTACTTCCCACCATATACTCAAAAAGAATCAAATACCTAAATGTAAAAGCTATAACTACAAAACTCTTAGAAGGGAACATAGGTGTATATCTTTATGACCTTGGATTGGGCAATGGCTTCTTAAATATGACACCAAAAGCACAAGCAAACAGAAAAAATCACAGATAAGTTGGACTTCATCAAAATTAAAACCTTTTGCATCAAAGGACACTATCAAGAAAGTGAAAAGACACTCCATAGAATGGGAGAAAATGCTTGCAAATCATATATCTGATAAGCATTTAGTATCCAGAATATATAAAGAACACTTGCAACTCAACAACAGGAAGAAGAACAATCCAATTATAAAATGGGCAAGAGATTTGAATAGACATTTCTCCAAAGACAATATACAAATGGCTAACAAGCACATGAAAAGATGCTCAACATCATTAGTCATTTGGTAAAAGCCAATCAAAACAACAATGAGATATCGCTTCACACCCACTAGAATAACTATAACAAAAAAAAATGGACAATAACAAGTGTTAAAGAAGATGTAGAGAAATTGGACCCCTCATACATTGCTGGTGTGAATGTAAAATGGTACAGCTGCTGTGGAAAACACCTTGGTAGGTCCTCAAAAAGTTAAACATAGTTACCATATAGCCCAGCAGTTCTAGTCTTAAATATACACCCAAGAGAATTGAAAACATATGCTCACATAAAAACTTGAGCACAAAGCATAACCCTGTGACTATACTAACAACCACTGAATTATACATTTTAAAATGATAAATTATATGTTTTGTGATTTATCTACTCATAATAGTCTAAAAGTATAAACAACCTGAATATCCATCAATTTATGAATGGGTAAACAAAATTTGTATATCCATACGACAGAATATTATTCAGTCATAAAAAAGAATGAAGTACCAATACATGCTACAACATGGAAGAACCTTGAAACCATTAAACTTTAAATGAAAGAAGCCAGACCCAAAAGGACAAATATTGGATTTGGACAATAAGGATTGGACAAATAAGGATTCTACTAATATGAGGTACCTAGACTAGTCAAATTCAGAGACAGAAAGTAGAATGGTGGTTTCCAGGGGCTGGAGGGAGGGGAGAATGAGGAGTTATTGTTTAATGGGTACAGTTTCAGTTTGGGAAGATGAAAAATTCTGGAGAAGGATAGTGGTGATGAGTGCACAATAGTGTGAATGTACTCAATGCCACTGAACTATACACTTAAAAATGGTTAAAATGGTAAGTATTGTTATGTATATTTTACCCCAATAAAAGAGGAATGGGGGCCGGCCCAGTAGCATAGTTGTTAAGTTCGTGTGCTCTGCTTCGGCGGCCCAGAGTTCGCAGGTTTGGATCCCGGGTGCAGACCTACGCACTGCTCATCAAGCCATGCTGTGGCAGCATCCCATATACAAAATAGAGGGAGATGGGCACAGATGTTAGCTCAGGGCCAATCTTCCTCACCAACAAAAAAAAAGAAAGAAAGGAATGAAGTACCAATACATGCAACAACACAGATGAACTTTAAAAACATTATACTTAAGGGGCCAGCCCGGTGGTGCAGCAGTTAAGTGCGCACACTCAGCTTTGGCTGCCCAGCGTTCACAGGTTCGGATCCCGGACGCGGACAGGTGTACCGCTTGCCAAGCCATGCTGTGGCAGCGTCCCATATAAAGCAGAGGAAGATGGGCATGGATGTTAGCCCAGGGCCAATCTTCATCAGCAAAAAAGAGGAGGATTGGCATCGGATGTTAGCTCAGGGCTGATCTTCCCCACCAAAAAAAAAAAATTATACTTAAGTGAAAGAAGCCAGACACAAAAGGACACATATTATATGATTTTATTTATATGAAACATCCAGAACAGGCAAATCTATAGAGAGTGAGTAGATTAGTCATTGCCAGGGGCTAGGAGGAAGGGAGGAATTAACTGCTAACAGGCACGAGGTTTCTTTTTGGGGGTGATGGAAATGTTCTAGAATTAGATAGCATTGAGCACAAAGCACAATCCTGTGACTATACTAACAACCACTGAATTATACATTTTAAAATGATAAATTATATGTTTTGTGAATTTTATCTAAAAAAAAAATTTGGACAAAAAGTCTTCCCTCAGAATGAGTACTCTAAATGCAAGACAGGAGGAAACTATCCTTTTTGTGACCTAGCATCAGAAGTCACAAAGCATTCTTCCTGTCATATGCATTAGAAGCGAGCCCCTAAGTCTGGCCCACATTCTAAGTTAGGTTTTACACTTATATCATGAAACGCATATCATTTCAGTCTCACGACATGGGGAAGGTGTTAATGTCTCCCATCTACAGATGAAACTCAGGCTCAGAGAGATTAAATTAATGTCCTAAGGCCACGAGTCCAATAGGTGGCAGAGCTCAGACCGGAACATAGAAACAGCTGACTCTGTAACCTGTGCTCTTAAATCTCCATCGGTGCTGGGTCTTAACCAGACACGCCATTTGTGAAACCATAGACGTGTGGGACTCCCTCCCACCAAGGACCTCTTAAATCATCGTGTCTGGGGCTTGGTCCATACACTTGAATGTTTTTAAGCTCCTCAGGTGTTTCTGAGGTGCATCCTATGTACAGAACCACTCCTCTCTGCCTGGTGGTTTTGTATTATTTATATGGGCAGCTGACTCCAGCTGGATGGTCAGTGCACTGGGGACAGGACCCCCACCTCCAGCTCCCTTGTGACTGCCACTGTGACAGCACAATGTGTGCCTGCAGGAGGCAAGTGCTCAGGAAATATCATTGGCTAGGAGGATTCAGAGCAACTGACACCCAGAATGCCAGCTGCCAAGGGGTTCCAGTGGAACTGAGGGGCACACAGTTTGTGCCTTGGGGTTGGCCTACCTGGCCACTCTCTCCAGTGGGCAGGAGGTTCACTGGGGCCCACTTGGTGGGCAGCCCCTGCTGCCAACTGGGGCACCTCAGCTCTGCCCAGAGCAGAGGTGTCGGGAAATAACACTCTCCCCGAGCTTCTCCTCCCAGTTCCCAAACTTACAGGCCCACCTTAGGGCCTAGAATTCACTGAGGCTCGGTGGTTCTTTGTCCAACAGTCAACATGGATCACAGAAGCCGACCTCGGGGCGTAGGCCTAAGCCGGAACCCTGGGACTCAGTCCCGAGCCCCCCGGGCCCCACTCCCCCTCTACGTGGAACAGGAAGCCAGGGAAGGAGAAGAATGGGAGCAGCGAGAGCCACCTCGTCAAAGGACTCCCATCTATGGGCTTCCCGAGAGTGAAGAGTTGCCAGACAATGTTATGGGTAAGGACATGCTCTCCTCTGCCCCGGCAAAAGGCAGGTGGCTTCATATTTTTCCTCCTTTGCCCACAGGAAACTGAGGTTAGGAAACAGAAAACAAAACTTATAACGGGCAGGACTGGGGTGAGGGCTGAATTTGGCAAGGGCAGGTTTCCTATTTGCCTCAAAGGGTTGTCACAAGGAGTAAGGAAATAATATGTGAAAGCAACTTGAAACTAAGACAGGCTGTCAGGAACATTAGCTGTTCTTTACAAAATCAGGCACTTACAATAGTAAATGCTCACCGTGTGCCAGGTGCCTTGGGAAACAAAAATGAATTCCACATGGATATTGACCCCAGGGAGCTGACAGTCTAATAGAGAAAAGACGAACTGTTAGGAAGGCTTCCGCAGGATTCAGAAAGACGACAAGAGCTCACAGGAAGATAGAAGGGATCTTGGGGGGCATAAAGGCTGCCGATGGCGCCTGTCTTTCTGGTGTGTGTTGTGTCTCTCTCCCCAGTTCTCACCCGCCATCCTAGCAAATGGGTGAGTGATGGGGAGAAGATGGAACAACACTGTGCTGGGATAAAGTCTGGTTTCCTAGGAACTTTTCAAGTCTTGATTAAAAAATAGACACCTTTGAAATAGACTTGTCACCAAACTGCCTGTCTGTCCTTGCCTACTGGAGCAGAGTAAACGGTTAGACCTTTCTTCTCCAAGTGTTCCCAGAACTTAAAAGGGCTGCAACCAGATGGGGGAGTCGCGGCACTGTTCACACAGATCACTCAAAGGAAAAAAAAGAGTAACTGTTAGAAGTATAAAATGCAAGCTGTTCAAAGGCAGCTAGGTTAGTTTCACTTGAGGGGAGGAGGGGGGCGGGTGGCGTGAGGTGGTGAGGCGGTGAGGCTTTGTAGAAGCGATGGGCGTGGAAGGATGTCTAAAACAGTGCACAGGGCGGGAGCGCGTGAGGCCAGTCACGGCGGAGGCCACCGGGCGGCCTCCGCAGACTTGGGCTAAGTCCCAGGGCGCAGGCGCAAACGCTGTCTGAGCGCGAACAGGCGGGGCAGGCGCCCACGTGGCGAGGCAGGGGAGCAGCGCGGGGCGGGGGAGCGGGGAGGCTGGGGACGAGGTGGGGGGGCAGGAGGGCGGGGGGAGTGGGGGGCGGAGCAGGTCTCGCGAGGCCGCGCCCCGGCTCACGCGGGCGTCGAGCGCGCGGTTGTAGCTGCCTGGCGGCGGGAGAAGTCGCGCTCGGGCCAAGAGACGTGTGTCTGCGCTCGCGTGGTCATGGAGGCGCCGCCGCTGCTGCCGGCCGCGTGGACTCTGGCTCCTGGCCGGAGCCGAAGGCTGCTGCTGCTGCCTCTGCTGCTGTTCCTGCTGCCGGCTGGGGCGCAGCGGGGCTGGGAGGCGGAGGAGAGGCCCCGAACCCGCGAAGAGGAGTGCCACTTCTACGCGGGTGGACAAGTATACCCCGGGGAGGCGTCCCGGGTTTCGGTCGCTGATCACTCCCTGCACCTCAGCAAAGCCAAGAGTAGGTGGTGCCCCGCCAAGGCGGATGGTGACCCGTGGCAGAGGGAGGCGGCTGGTGGGGAGGGCCTGGTGACACGTGTACCCTGGTTACGGTGGCTACCCGAGGGCCTCGCTGGGGCGGCACCCGGGCTGCCTCAGGTCCCTGAGCGGTCCTGGCTCTCTCCTGGGTGTTGGGGAGATGGAGGGGGGTTCCAGCTGTAAAGAAAGAAATGGTTTCCACTAATCAGATTTTGAAAGAAGTAGTGGTTACCCCGAAAGCCACAGATAAGGGAAAGAGGGTGGCCCTCGTCCCAGGCTTGAAAGCATAGGAGGATGTTGTGCAAATCCAAACACTTCCTCAAACATTGCAGAGTGCCTGCAGCACATCACGTCCGTTTTCAAGTACTATTTCAGGGAAGAATGCATTGATAAGTTGAATAATGATTCATAGAAATTTGATTAAACAGAAAAGTGGTTAAACAAAATGCCGAGGAAGGCAAATGCTTCATTTTTCTTTCTTTTTTCTCTTTCTTTTTTTTTTTTTCCATCTTGTAAAGATTTTAAAAGCTCTCCCCAAAAATCTGTATAGGTAGTTAATGGGTATTCTTTATATTTCTCAGAAATGAAGAACTTGTTACAGGGTGTATTTTGGAGGCTCTTTGTAGGGAAACGGGGAAAAAGGAGGTTGGAAGTAATGCATTTGAGTTGATGATAAACCTGGTGGCAAATTTGTGTCTTGGCAGTTTGGTTTTTGATTATTTGCATTCTGTCCAGTGTACACAGCTAATGGCCACTTTCAGGAAGGACACGTCAGATTAAGTAGATAGTGAGAAAGTTATGGCCTGCTGCATCTGGATGTTAAGATTAGCCAAAAAGAAGTGGCCAGGGAGGGGCTCAAGGATAGCGACTGTCCTTTGCTTGCTTTTAAGTAACCTGCTTTTCCTGTGGATCATTTGGCATTCTGTAGATGTGCATTTGGCTTTTGTGGTTCAGTTACAGCATGTTATGTGCCCATATTCAGCAAAAAAAGTAATGCTTCACGATTAGGACTCCCCAGTGTTGAATGGGATGTTGTTATGACTTAGGTTGGATTGGGAGGGATAAGTGAGCAAAACTGTTTTGCCTCCTTACACATTTGCTGTTCTTTCCTACTGAAAGTTAACTACTTTTGGACTTTTGTTTTTAAAAAGCCAGTCTTGCACTTTTAAAATCATAGTATTTCCAAGTCCTGTTGGTTTTACTTGCCTGGGAAGATATTTTGAAATATGTTAGCCAATTAAATGTTTACTGGCATTACGTATATTTCCCATAAGAAACAAATCCCATCCAAGTCTGCTCATGGAAGCAAAAAGTAGGAATTATAGATCTCCCTTTACCAGCAAGCCTTTTCAAATTTTAGATATTTGCTACATTTCTGTGTCACATGTAGGCTTATGTAGAATTAAAGATACGAGCACTTTTATTGGTAAAATGGAATATTATGGAGCCATTAAGTCTTTCAAATAATTTTAGTAACGTGAAAAACTGCTAGTGATTTACTGTTTCCTTTTTAAAAAGGGTGCAAAGGATCAAAATTTGTGTGTTTGAAAAAGACTGGAAGACGTCAAAATGTTAACAGTGGTTAAACTGATGGGGGTTATGGGGAGAAGAGATTTAAACATTCTTTACACTGCTCTGCATTTGCCAGAATCTTGGTTAATTATATGATTTATATTCAGGACAATTTTTGTTTTTTGATAGATGCAAGGGATTGCTTTGGGTATTCCATTTATAGATCTTAGCAAAGTAACTACATTCTTTTTGCTCTATAAATTAATGACAGTTTTTTTCTTTGAACTAACACTGCAATTCTTAAATCAAGAACCCCAAATTTCCAAAATCAATTTATTTTTCAGATTTGTTTTTCTCAATATGCTAAAATCATTAAGGAGTATCATTGTAACAGATCATTACAATTATAACCTCACACTTGAGTAGCATTTTAAATAACATATGTAAAGCATATACAGTTGAGTACCCTTCTGCTATCTAATTCGCCCTCCTGGCCTTTACTTAATCAGATCAGAATATTTATATGAGGTAGGCTGCTGGCCCAAGATAAGTAATCACATGTTATATATTAACTTCACAGAGAAATTCATCTTAAGTTTGTCTCTAGTTTCAGAGTAACCAAAAATGCTGTCTGTTATTCAAAATACAATAAGTACTGGCAATTATAACCCTTACTTTCTAGGAACCTTAGTCAAACTTGGAAGCAAGTATTGACTTCAATGTATGTAATGGTTCTGAAAGTTTAAGTGCTATCTGAATGTGTTAACAGAAGATCAAGGTACATTATTATCAAAGCGTGTTGGCTAGAATTACACCATGCCCTCACAAGAGAGCGCAGGAACTATTCAGTTTCCATCAGGTCACTTGAAACCTGTTCAAGGGGGTCTCCTACTTCAAAGGCCTCTAGGAAAATAATCCCGTAGTCCGGGATTTTATACTTCTGGCTTGATGTATTTGCAAATTTCCTACTCCTTGAGTGTAACCTCCTCTGCAGCAGGTCCTCCATGTGTGTGTGAGAAACTGGACAAACGTTTAAATTAGTACATCTGGAAGACTGCCATTTGAGAAAGAAAATCTAATGATTGAAATGTAGGAAGTTGATTAACTTGGAAGGGCTGTATTGAAGTATCTAGTAGGGTTTAGTGCAGGGATGGCATATAGGGGGTCTGTGAGCATGAATAGAAAAAAAAGTCTTTATTTCCACTAACCTCCAACTGAAATTTAGCATTTCCTTCCATTATGAACACCAGCAACAAGCCGCATTAGCTTTAGCAGTACTTGCTTGTACCTGTCACCAGTAGAATCACAGATATTTTCATGCCACATGACGGTTGTTGCAGATATCCTGAAATATCATTTACACTCCTCACTATCTTGGGTAGTTATTAGATCACTGCTAGATCTTGCAGTTTTAAAGTGTTAATAGAAGGGCACGTGTATTACTATAGCACCAATTTGTTTTTTAGTATTTAGATAATTGCATTTCAATATAATTGGTTTCCTTTGTAATTCTATATATTTTATTTTATGCATTCAATAACACTATTCTGAGAAGTCCGTAAGCTTCACCAGCCTGCTAAAGAGGTCAAAGGTTTAGAAGCCTTTATTTTTAGTGACTTCCTAAAGATGTCCTTCTGTCGTTCCACTAACTTCCTCAGCGTTATAGAACATCATATATTTTTCTTTCTTAGTTTCCAAGCCAGCACCTTATTGGGAAGGAACAGCTGTGATAAATGGAGAATTTAAGGAGCTCAAGTTAACTGATTATCGTGGGAAATACCTGGTTTTTTTCTTCTACCCACTTGATTTGTAAGTAATACACGTACATAGCAGCTAGTAAAACCTCAGTCATTATCAATCATTATTCAAGAACATCAATAGTTAGAAATTATTTTATTTAGCTCTTGGTTCTTAAAAGGCAAGCTGAGATGAAGAATTTTTTCAAGAAGGTAACATCTACCATATATTTCAGAATCATAACCCATGGTCCCAATACTTTATACTTATATCTACATGATTGTGTTATCATAATGTAATCATTAGAGAAAAGCTACAATTATATTCATTAAGCTATATCTGCTAAGGCAAGAAAATGAACTGATAATATTTTAGAAGGCATTTAAAAGCAAGACTTATGCCACAGATCTGTTTAATGTATCTCTATTAACTGGAAATTAATAATTTAATATAATAATAATAATTTTTAAATTTATTAAAAATTAATCACCTTTTCTCTGGTGATACCGTTTAACTTTGGTTTTACTATTCTTTGCTGCATCTGTTGCTTTCCTGCAATTTGAACATTTTCCTGAAAATATTGCATATGCTTAAGGAATAATACTTAATAATATATAGTTATGGGGGGTTTCTGTTTACCTCTGTGATAGTGAACGCTTTTGTAGATAGAAAGTTGACTCAAAGTAAATACTCTTGCAGCTTTAGTCACATCAAGGATTTAATTTTATTTTGAGTGTTTTTCAAATTCCATGAAAGTGAAAAGATACCAAAAAGAGAGTTATCCTAACTTTTATCTTTTTCTATTTGAATATATTTTTTTGATTACAGAAAGTAACCACAAGACTTTTCTGTCTTTGCCACTGGGTATTAAGGTCATTTCTCTATTAGGTCTAATCTAGAACTATGTAAATAAAACTTAAATTTGCAGAGAGGATATACTTAAGCTCATCTCTATAGGTTGTCTCTAGACCAGGGGTCAGCAAACTTTTTCTGTACAGGGCCAGCTAGTAAATATTTCACTCTAACGGTGATCTCTATTGCGACTACTTAACTTTGCCACTGTAGCACAAAAAAGTCATAGACAATACGTAAACGAGTGAGTATTGTTGTGTTCCATTGAAAGTTTATTTACAAAAAATAAGATAGGCTGGAGTTGGCCTGTGGACTAAAATTTGCTGACCCCTACTCTAATCCAAATAGGAAGAATTCTCATAAAAATTAGAACATTGAGACTAAAACAAGTCATGAATCCGCATAATACATAATCGTTTAAATTGGTAAGAACTTGCTTCTTTCTAATAACTTGTACTGTGTGTGGCTTGACTAGCTAAAATGTATAATATAATAATTTCTAATAGAAGTAGAAATTTTAATATATAAAAAATGATAGGCCTTCTAAATTCATGTTGCTGTGAAACCAAGTTAACACATATGTTAAATACATATGACGGTAAACCTGAATTTTGAAATTAGTCTAACATAGCAATAAATATCCTCTGTTTATCCAGTGTTATTTAAAACTCCATAATGAATAAGACATATCTAATTAGAACATGATGTTAGCAATGGTCTTCTGGGGCAAGGAGCTAAGATAGCTTCTTTCTGTTTCCATGTAATGCCAGACTGGCCCTGGTTAGAGGAGGAAGAATCCTGGGGCATTTGCCACAGTCTGCAAGGAGGAAAGTCGCAGACATAAGCCTTCACTTTCCTGCCAGAACTATTTCTCTGTCTTCACTAAGAAGTTGAGCACATGTGTCTCTAGGTAGCATTTCTTGGGATAATAGGAAGGAAAGCAGGGGCTGACCGTTCGTTCATACGTTTTGGGAAATATTAAAAATACATATCATAGCCCAGGCTTCCAGGGACATAATCTCACTTAGAACTGTATGCTTGCATTTGGCAGTCCTCCACTTGAACAACTGAAGTATTTGAAAAGCCTGTATTAGGCTCTGGTAGGAACTTGTCCCCTAAGCCTACATTTTTTTAACTTTCTTGACCATGACACACAGTAGGAAATACATATTTCATTGCCACCCAATACACTTACACGTGCATATAGGGTAGCATTCAGTCTGTATGCACCAGTACAGCCATCCTCGTTAAAATATTGAAAAACTTTCATAGTATGGTAAATAGCCACTTTCCCAGCACCCTCCCCAAGTTGCCTTTCCCATCTGGTCCCTTTCAGAAACCTCCAGAGCTAAAGAGAACTTTGAGTTAAGGTTGTTGAATATTTTTAATATCACTCCTGAACACACACACATATATATATGCACTTGTATATATATAAAAATGTTTCATAACTTACCCTTACTATATATAATGTAGTCTCATATTTTCTATTTCACTTCTTTAAAATGTTGGATGGAACTCAGGAAATTGGCTTAAGGAGTTCCTACCACAGTTTGAAAAACACAACCCTAAGGTAATATTCTCTAACATGCCGTTCTGACAAGACTGGGAGGACAGGTAGAAGAGGACCTTATCAAGAAAGGGAGGGAGATGGGAGAGCATTTTCTCATCTCCAAAATAGAGGTAGATGCATCTAGCTCATAGGGTTGGTATAGGAATGTAAAAAACAAATAGTGAAATGATGTAAATTTTGTATAGATCCTTTGAAAGCTGTAAAGCACTGTATAAAGTATTATTGAATAAAAGCTAATAAAGCGGGGGGAGGTGCTGCCCTGAGGGAGAAAGGAACATTGGTTGACCATTGATCCGTTAAGTTATAAAAATAAAGTTTATTGACATGTAATTGGGAACTCTGTAATATACTTTTTTTTATTAAATGATATTTGATCAAATGACAGTCTTTTAGACTACTCCATCTCGAGAAGGTTCAAGATAAAATTGTTCTTAATGTACATTTTTGTATACTAAAGGTGTTTGTAAAAACTAAGTCATTTGAAACTTCAGGTCTGTGTGTATTTTGAGAATACTGATTTTTTTTTTTTTTAACTTTCAGCACTTTTGTGTGTCCAACTGAAATTATCGCCTTTGGTGATAGAATTGAAGAATTCAGATCTATAAACACTGAAGTGGTAGCGTGCTCTGTCGATTCACAGTTTACCCATTTGGCCTGGTCAGTATCTTACACTTACACTTGTAGGGAAAAGAATGGATTACCCTTAAATTATGGACAGACAACTCTTAACATGATAGGCATGTAGTTATTTATCACACAAATCAGGAATAGATTTATCTGAGAGCTGCTAGTTCAATGAAGTTATGGTAAAAATGCTTAAAGATTTTATAGAACATTTCAAAATTTGAAAAGAAAAAGTTAAATGCAAAAGATGTAATATCCATAGCAAAAAACCACTGAATTGTATGATTATTATGATAAATTGGGTGACTATAATCTGGAGAAAAAAATCCTTAAAATACCATTTCTCTGTTACACAATTGTCTAGTATTAAATTCAAAATAGCTTTTGTAATTACTTTTCAAGAAGCAATGATTTTTTTAAATTAATTTATAAAATTTAATTTTATATAATTATATGAAAATTTATTAAACATGAGAAGATGTTCCACCTAATTAATTGCAAAGAATTGCAAATTAGGGGCCAGCCCGGTGGCACAGCAGTTAAGTTCGAGAGCTCCGCTTCAGCGACCCGGGGTTCGCAGGTTCAGATCCCGGGCGCAGACTGACATGCCACTTGTCAAGCCATGCTGTGGCGGCGTCCCATATAAAGTGGAGGAAGATGACCACAGATGTTAGCCCAGGGCCAATCTTCCTCAGCAAAAAGAGGAGGATTGGCAACGGATGTTAGCTCGGGGCTGATCTTCCTCACAAAAAAAAATTTTGCAATTAAAATGACAAGAGATACAATTTTTTCTCTGATTGGCCAAGATTTCAAATATTGAAAAATTTCATCCAGTGTTGACAGAGGTGTGAAGAAATGGCACTCTCACACACATGGTTGGTTCAGCATTTCTGGACAGCAGTTAGACAACATGTTTCAAAATTTGAAATGTGCATGTCAATGGGAGTTTTTGTGCACAAAATTTTATGCACAATAAAAATTGTTCAGAATTATTTTAGTTTTAAAACTTGTCAATGCAGGGCCAGCCCCGTGGCTTAGCGGTTAAGTGCGTGTGCTCCGCTACTGGCGGCCTGGGTTCGGATCCCGGGTGCACACTGACGCACCACTTCTCCAGCCATGCTGAGGCCGCATCCCACGTACAGCAACTAGAAGGATGTGCAACTATGACATACAACTACATACTGGGGCTTTGGGGGAAAAAAAAAAGGAGGAAGATTGGCAATAGATGTTAGCTCAGAGCCAGTCTTCCTCAGCAAAAAAAAAGAGGAAGATTAGCATGGATGTTAGCTCAGGGCTGATCTTCCTCAAAAAAAAAAAAACTTGTCAATGCAAATAATCAATAACCAATCTATAGATTAGAAAGATAAGGTGATGTTGATCTGAGCCAAGCTGAGGACTAGCCCAGAAGAGCAGTCTCCACCAGGGAAGAAAGCCCTCCGGAGAAGTGTGGTTTGCAGCATGGTTGTTATATACCATTTCAGAACAAAGAACATACATCAAGCATGACAGGAATACAATTTTTTTCTCAAAGTCACAAGGAGGTGTTTTGCTGTGGTTTAGCATGTACACAGCTGGTCAACTTGACCTTGGTTTTCTGGGAAGAAAAGCTTATCTTCAAAGAAGTACTGGTATTGGCATTTGAAGGGAAACATTCATCCCTATCTTTAAAGAATGCATTCTTTGCTTTGGGAAAATGTTTGAAGCAGATGTACAGTGCATGTTTGACAGGCCATAATTCAGGCTGCTGTGGGAAAAACAAGTTTTAGGCAGAATCAGGTTTAATCCAGAATGACTTCCCCATATACCTCAATATGTGAAAACTTATTATTCTTATTATTTTCATCAAACTTAATATTCAATTCATTAACATTCAAAACAAGTTTTTCTCCATTTACAATTATATACATGCACATATATACATATGTATGTATATATATAACTAAAATTTTAGTTGGTTCAGGAACTACAATTTAAATTTAATTTACATTCACTTAAGTAACCCATTCTCATAACTATTTTAAGGTGCAGTTGTATATTTTATTTGATTTCCTTTAAGTATCTCGCTTTTCAGAAAAACCTCCCCAAGAACTTAAGTAATTCTTGCAAATTTAATAAATAAATAGATGTCTTAAGTCCTTTTAAAAAGTTTCTTTGCTATTTATAAACTGAATAAAATTTCAAATTACACATTTTGAATGGAATCACAAAGTGAATCTGTTATTCTAATATGCCACATTCTCTTAAACATTATAAATAATATACAAATATGTACTGATTATTTCTTAATATAAAAATATTAAAACTATGGGTTGAATTTGCTTCATCATGTGTTTTTTTTTTTTTTTTTGAGGAAGATCAGCCCTGAGCTAACATCCATGCTAATCCTCCTCTTTTTGCTGAGGAAGACTGGCTCTGAGCTAACATCTATTGCCAATCCTCCTCCTTTTTTTTTTCCCCAAAGCCCCAGTAGGTAGTTGTATGTCATAGTTGCACATCCTTCTAGTTGCTGTATGTGGGACGCAGCCTCAGCATGGCCGGAGAAGCGGTGCCTCGGTGCGCACCCGGGATCCGAACCCAGGCCGCCAGTAGCAGAGCTTGTGCGCTTAACTGCTAAGCCACGGGGCCAGCCCGCTTCATCATTTCTACAGTAATTCTAAATCTTTGTAGGATTAAAACACAAATCCACTAAGGAAAAAGTTATGTCATCCTAAATAATTTGGGATTGCTTTCCCAAGGAATTTTTGGGGATACCTTCTCGGCTGGAAGGTCTCATATCAACCAGAGATTTCTACTTGGATGTCAAAACTGAGGCTGCAGACATCTGGAGCAGTGTTTCCTTGTTTTCTAGCTGCTATGTATACCCTTCCATTAGGGCCCCAGCCCACATCCCCAGGTTTCAAGTTACAGAATACTAAAATCTGAAGACTGATGCATCTGAGATTATAACTAACTTCCTTCACTGCTTCAGGTGGACTTTTCATTTCTTTGTCTCTCAGGATATTAAAATGTCATCCAGTTCTGGGGCCGGCCCTGTGGTGTTAGTGGTTAAGTTCGGCGCACTCTGCTTTGGTGGCCCAGGTTCGCAGGTTTGGGTCCCAGGCATGGATCTACACCACTCGTCAGCCATGCTGTGGTGGCAACCCACATACAAAATAGAGGAAAATTTGCACAGATGTTAGCTCAGGGCTAATCTTCCTCAAGCAAAAAAAAAAAAAAATGTCATCCAGTTGTATTCTGTATCTCTCTGAAGGCTTTATCTTGTGATCACAATTCTAAGGTTATGCTTATAATAGTGCATACCCTTTGATCCATCAATTCCACTTCTAGGAATTAATCAGACAAGTGTACAAAGTTGAGAATATGAAGATGTTTCTAGCAGCATTTATAAAAGTAAAAAAAAATGGAAACAGTTGAAATGTTAATAGAGATTAGTAAAATATAGTATGTCTATATATTAAAAATGTGATGTGTATCTCCATATTTACACATTACACACATTGTGTGTTCATTCATTTATATGCATATGCAGAGAAAGAGTGCTGTTTTGATATCTGCCATTTACTTAACTCTGAAGGTAAATGTTCTGTTTGTTACAGGATTAATACCCCTCGAAGACAAGGAGGACTTGGGCCAATAAGGATTCCACTTCTTTCAGATTTGACCCATCAGATCTCAAAGGACTATGGCGTATATCTGGAAGACTCAGGCCACACTCTTAGGTACCTTTCAGTAGTTTTACATTATGACAAATCCAAATATATTTGTAATCCTCCTTAAAATGGAGTTAGAAGATACAAGGTTTGATAAGAAATGTTTGCTCTATTTGCAGAAGTGTTGTAGATACTATGTAAAATAATTGGTGAGTGCCCTACTAAAACTATGTGTCAGACTGTTAGAGATGGAAGATTATTTAGAGGTCTTTGACCAGCCCTGTCATTTTACAGATAAACAAATTCATAGAGTTCCATGAACTTAGCCAAAGTTATATATTCAGTTAATTGCAGAGCCCAGACTTGAACTAATTTTGTTATGATTGTTGATTTGCTTTGCAGTGCTAGTAGTTTCTTTTTGAAAATGTTTTATGTGGGCCGGCCCCGTGGCTTGGTGGTTAAGTGAGCGCGCTCCGCTGCTGGCGACCCGGGTTCGGATCCCGGGCGTGCACCGACGCGCTGCTTCTCCGGCCATGCTGAG